TATGATGAACAATATGATTACTACAAGTCATTCTTTAGTTATTGTTCATACCAGTTGTCATATTTCGTCACTTTTGTTAGTCTTCCTTCTTTCTGAAGCTTGTGTAAAAGTTTCTGATTTTCATCTCTCGAGCCGTCACAAACATGAATACTGTCTGGTTGACACAGTTCCACATTATCCTTTACAAACTGCTTAACGCCTTCCCCGAGTGATTGTAACTGTGGAGAAGTGAAAACCGACGACAACAACCGGCAATTTCTAAAAGTTAAGGGGGACCTACAAGAAGCTATTGGTATAAACTTATACAATCCGAAATTTACCTCAAAGCCGGCAAAATATGTCTATAGTACAACATATTTCGACGGTTTCATCCAGCAACCTTTCCTTTCTTTACAATGAAGTTGAATGAGGACTTGAGGTCAGGTCAAAATTCACAAGTCACGAGAGGGAGGCGTTTTGAGGGCGTTACTATCACGTGATCACGTGACTAAAGGTTATGTTAACGCCCCCACAACTCATTGCTTGTAGTTAGTGGTGGGCGATACTGGCCAAAATGGATTCGATACGATACCGATCGATATCAGTTCATATCGAGAGTATCGATACAGTTTTGATACGATATTTAGACCACACCTATGGAGTCACACCCCTTATTATTGACTGTTTTTCATCGATGTTTTCATGCACGTGTATCCACGTGTGTGTATTATACGTCATTAACTTATTAAAATTTTAATTATTAATATTATTTAACCATAATAAATGGGCGTGGTCAACGTATCGATCCAGATTCCTTCAAAATTTCGATACCGATACGAATCGATACCGTAAAATATCGTTTGTATCGATAAAATATCGATATATCGCCCACCACTACTTGTAGTACAACAGAGCAAAAAAATGGTTAATCTAAATCTTTGTCTTCTAACTTTTTTTCTCTCCTTGTGTACATTCACTGCATTTGCAGATGACCTAGTTGCTGTCAACTATTACGCTGAGTCCCTCTGTCCTGACTGCCTTGCATTTTCCAAGGGACCAATGAATGTTGCCATTGACAAGGTAGCCCGAGGTTGATAGTCTCAATATGGGGTACATGTAGCTAGGGCATTGTGCATGCTGCTATATTTTGCTGTATTTTATTGTAGCTGTGATTGGTTTTATTCTTTTGTTTCAGGTTGGCTCAATATTTACTCTAACATATGTTCCTAGTGGTAATGCTAAGCTTCAGTCTGACGGTACTCTTAAATGTCAACATGGTCCTATGGAGTGTCTTATTAACAAGGTTGATGCTTGTCTCCTTCATTATTATCCAGATAGGTATGGATGGATGGTGAGAGAG